CATACAAAAACATAAAAATTTAAATTTAAAAACAACCAAACAACCGAACAACCAAACAACCTAACAAAATTATGTTGTTTGTATAAAAAAAATTTTTTTTTTTTTTTTATGAGTAATAAATCTTAAATAGATATTAAATTTAAATATTTTTGAACTAGTTTTTTATAATAATAATAATAATAATAACAGCAGAAAAAACGCACCAGACAGCCAAAGAAGCAGAGACAAAAGGCTGAAATACAGAAATTTGGAAATTGAAATAACCAGGATGTGGGGAACAAAAACAGAAACGATTCCGGTCATCGTGGGAGCATTGGGAGCCATGCCACATTCAATGAAAGGAAACTTAAAGAAGATTATGAGGAACCTAAAAGAAGAAACCATCCAGGAAATCGCACTATGTGGGACGGCCCACATTCTTCGGAAAATATTATAAGTAGCACCACCGAAATTCGAGTATTTATCCCTAAGGAATCGTCGGGTAGAAACCTGGGATAAATGCTTAAAAACCCCGACAAATAAGAGCCTTGTCGTGTTTTTATAGTGAACATAATAATAATAATGATAAACTTACTTCAAAAGTGGAAAAAGTTGTTTGTTTGTTATTCAAATTTTCCCATAAAATTAATTTCATGCTTTTGTTATAAATAAAATTTACCTTTTTTTGGTATCCTATCGATTTGTGTTAATTTTTCCAATGATTCTAATACGATATTATCATCAATATTATTCTTCATCATTATTATCACTATTTGTTTAATGTTTAGCTTTCATAAATTTCCAAAATCCTTTTCTCTCTCTCTCTCTCTCTCTCACATAACAATCACCGTTAAAATATTTTCAAGTCATGTTTTCAATAACTAATTTAACACTAAAATAAATAAATTAAAAATTTGTTATTAAAATAATAATAATAATAATAATAGGAAACGAAGGTAAACGTAAAAAGGGCAACGAGTACATGAAAAATCGTTAATTATATTTATTAATTATAAAAAAAATAAATAAGTTTTAAGACTTATTGACGAGATTAATAATGATTAATAATTTTTTTTGTAATGTCGAAACAATAAATAAATAAAAATTTTTTTTATATATTTTTATAATTGTTTTTAATTTATTTGTACGGGTCAAATATCTTTCATATTTCTTTGTCTTGTAAACAAATCAAATTTGAATAACTACTGTCTGCCCCCTCCCCTCCCCTCCCCCCCCGAAGAATTGGCAACAAAAAAAAAAAAACTTTGTATTAATAATTTTTCTTTTTCTTTTACTCTATTTTTAACTTGACAAGATATTTTGTTTAAATTATTTTATTTTATCTTATTTATTTATTTTTTTTTATTACACGCGTGTATAAAACTTGTTTTTCGGAAAAAAATTCTAGACTCGAAAATATTTGTAATATTTTTATATAATAAAATATGTTTCTCTCTCTCTCTCTCTCTCTCGTTTTGATTCTGCTTTTTTTTTGTTTAAACTTTTTCAATCGATTAAAATGTATTATTTATCGATAAATATATTAAATTGTTTTGTAATAATAATAATAATTAATTTATTACCCTGACGTGTTTTTTTTTTTTTTTTGTAAATTGTTAAATTTCAATTAAAAACAAATAATAATAATAATAATAATAATAATAATTATGATTATATGAAAAGAACAAAAACAAAAAGAATGCGTTATCAACTTTTTTTTTGGATTTTAAAATAACGCGGGAAAATTTATCAATTAAATTATTTAACAAATTAATTTTTTTTTTTTTTTAAAACAAATGACTTTTAATTTATTATTATTATTATTATTATTATTATTATTATTATTATTATTATCACTAATTATTTTATTAATTAATTTTAAAAAATATTTCGTTTAGTCCTCATAGTACAAAATTTTTTTTTTACGTTAAAAAAAAAACAATTATTCGACCGAACTTAAAATTAAATTTAATTTTTTTGTTAAATATATAAATTTAAATAAATTTAAAGAATTTCATTGAGAGAGAGAGAGAGAGAGAGAGGAGACGATAGGTTTACACCTAATAATAATAATAATAATAATAATAAATAAAAATTTGTCGTGACACGCGAACTAAAAAAAAAAAGTAAAACAACGCAAATGATAAAACACACGTTTGACACGAGTTAATGGGGAAAACTAGTACGTTGAAAACACGTTGGTAGTATAATGAAATATTGAATTTATACAGCCTCACGGTTGTCATGGTAACAACAGACGCTTTTTCATTGTCTATTTTAGATATTTACGGTAAAAACAAATCTTATTAGAAAAAAAAAAAAAAAAAAAAAAACCTTTTACTACCTTCATATTTTTCCATATTTTTTTTCTTTTTATAATCTCATATTGCTCGTAAAATTTTGTTTTTTTTTGCTCCATCTTGCGTTTTTTTTCCTTAATTTAAATTTATATTCGATTTAGGATTATATCTGAAACATAAAAAAAAATTTTATATTAAAACTACAACTACAATCATGTTACATTAGTTTTTTTTTTTTTAAAAATTGATTATTAATAATTATCTGAAAAACAAAAACATTAAAAAATTAATTACGGATAAGTAAATCCCCCTCGTTTGATAAGTTAGTTTTTCCTAAAGGAAATCAATTTGTTAGGGAAAAATAAATTGCGTAGAAAAACGAAGGAAACTATTCTGGGGCCACGTTTTCTCGTTTAAACATTTATAAAAACCCAATTTTTGTTCCCGTGTACGTGAATGTTTCTTGAATTTTTTATATTATCACTACTACATATTTTTTTTTTTAATATCATAAACGTCGTGCAACATTGTAAATAAATAACATAAACGTTATTGACCGTTCGCCATAAAAAAATAATGAAAAAGTTAAAAAAAAAAAAAAAAAATTTACCTATACAAATATTTACAAATTTTGGGATTTGGTTCATTCCAAACCAAAACCTTCGGCGTTTGAAATAGCAATTATAAGTTTTTCTTTGAGTATTCCTTTTGTTTCGTATTGTGGTAAAACTAATTGATTGAAACAAGTGTGAGCTTCCGGTAAATTACTGGGACGATTATTGACACGTGTAATTTTAAACGTCATTTCTCCCATACCTCCGACAGGTACTCGATCGCTTCCCGTGGTAAACAAAAGAAATTTTTTTTTCAATTCGTCCGATAATGATTCTAACACGTTCCAGAATTCGCTAAAAAAAAAAAAATTCGAAATTAACATGTTTGGAAACGAGTGAAAAAAAAAGCAGAAGATAAAATATTAAACGTACGTTATTATCGGATCATCCGGCTTGTAACCATCATATTCCGTTACTTTTCTTAATTCGGTTAAATCTATATTTGGTGAGCCGCACACTAACATTTCAACCTCTTCGTGCCTGAGCATCTGACAACAAATCCTTTTCTAAAAAGGTTTTTTTACGTAAATATTAATTAAAATTTGACTTACGATTAATGCGTTCGATGCGCAAACGCTGTGAAAGCCTAAATAAAAAGCTCGAAACTTTTCGTAAATGGAAGCATTTAAAATCCAATTTAAGTAAAGTTCAACGTAAGCATTTCTATTTTCGTTTGTCAGGGGAATATTTTCTCCATTCTCTTTCAATTTATACGTTTTTATTTCGCCATATTCTTCGAGTGATACTTGAAAATTCATGCACATATCCTCTTCTATATTCCCTTCGTAATCTAATAAATCTTTTAATCCTTTTGCGACCTCCTGTTGTAATAAAAATGACGTAACTAAGGTAGTTATTGTTTAAACAGAAAAATCTATCAGGCGAACATAATAATTACTGGCATGATTTCAGATAAATCGTCAATTGTTGGTTCTTTGACGATACCGACGGCAGATGTATCGGCTGAAGGAACAACAGGCGGTGATAAAAGTTTCTTATAACAAATTGATGGAAAATGTAAATCTAAAATTATGGAATTATATACGGCGAGACCCATTAGAACACCTGAAGAATTTTAAATTGCTTTAAATTCGACATGAAACGAAAAAAAATTTTATTGTATAATTTAAAAGAGGTTGATTTACCAATTAAATTGTACTCTCTAAGATTATTTTCTCGCTCGGTACTAAACCAATAACATCTTGAATGAGGATGATAAACAAACATTCCGTAATTCGGATGAAAAATTTCTCTAATCAATAAAAGAAACCATTCTTTCGTGAGTCCTCCCATATCCAATCCAGGTTCTCCTATAAAACTCACTTTCAATTTTTTTTTTAAATCTTTTTGTTTCAAAAAAATTTCATTTAACGAATCACTCACTAAATGAAATCTTCTCACGTGAATATTTAAAAAAAAAATATCTATTTGAGGAGGTTGATGTCTGATTACTTTCGCCACTAACGATTTTCTAGCGGTTAATATCATTTGTTGCTCTGAATCCTAAAAAAAAAAAAAAAAAAAAAAAATTTTTTTATAAAAGATAATTTACGGTAAATCTTTCATAAATATTTTAAAAACATATATACACACTTTTGTTAAAATAAATCTTTTGGCTACGATGCTGAGTACAAAAGGATATTGACAATATGAAAATTGTCCAAAATGTTGCGGATTTTGCCAATTATAATATTCTTGCATTAAATCAATATGATCTAAAGCTGAATTGTAAAATTCGGTGTAGTGGAGAAGATGAGGCGGATCACTAGAATCATTTGCAGCATCTAAAATTGTTTTTCACATTCAATTTTCTTAATCATTTCAATTTTTTTATCTATCGATAAACATACTTAAAAGTGCCAAAACTTTTGCAGCATTTGGAATCCACCATTTGCATTTTCCCATAAATGGCAACCTCTTTTCAGCCGGAGGAAAATGACGAATCGTTATGAATTGAAGAATATGCCTCAAAACCATTCGAAGATTTTTCACTTCTAATCTAAAATTTAAAATTTTTTTTTGAGTTTAGTTAATGGCCGACGTAATAAATAAATTTTTTTTTAATAAAATCGACTTACGTTTTAAACCAGCACACTAGTAATTGATGATCTTCCGTTGGCAATTCAACTATTTGCCTCAGGAGATGAGCAAAAATGGTATAAGTCGACTGAGATGAAAAAACGGGATTTTGTATCAACACGAAATAAGCTCGAACGTTATCTTTAGAATGTAATCTAAAAAAAACAAAAAAAAATTTTTTTTTAACGATTTACATAAAAACAAAAAAAAAAAAAATTTTAATTAATGTAAAATACAACGAACTCTCTTTCTTCTTCAATCAAAGCGTTTACAATCGATTTAAGTACGGCTTTATGAATGAAAGAAGGCATTCCTCTTAAAATATCATGAACTGAATTTATTAAATCCATTTTTAAATCGCTATCTTCCAGTCTCCCGCCTTCCTGATCGGGATCGTTCTAAAAAAAAAAAATTATTAATTTCAGCAGGAATAAAAAAAAAAAAAAAAAAAAAAACATTATAGGTGGTATGTGTAATCTTACTTTAAATAAGGCACATATTTCAGCAAAAGAATCAAAAGTTCTCATGTAAAATCTTTGTACGGTCGCATAATTTTCCGTCTGATGAGCCATGTGTACATCTTGCCTAAAAAAAAAAAAAAAAATTATTTGTGTTAATTTTTACTTAAATTAATTTTTTTTTATAAGTTCTTTAAAAGTGTACAATCAAAGTATTGTACAATCATGCAACACCGCGTGTGTATTTTTACAATTAATAAAAAAAAAAAATATTAAAAACAAAAAAAAAAGGAATTAGGGAATGATCAACTTCTTAAAACCAGTTTTTTTTTTTTTTAAATAAATAAGTTTGTATGAAATTTTGAATTTTTTTTCTTTTTTTTTTGAGTATCTATAGCAACGATGTCAAAACATGTAATTTTAATGAATTAATCGATACTTCGAAAAAGAAGATAATAATAATAATTCAATTTCGGGATAAGATGAGCGTGAAAAAATAAATTATTCAAACACATTATTATCGATAAATTCAAAAATTCAATGAGTAATCCTCCATTTTATGTAAAAATTAACCTCTGATAAATTTTTAAAATTATTTTTTTAAAATGGTGAAACAATGTAACATTTTTACATTATTAACTTAAAAACAAATTTATTAAAAACTTACAAAAATTCTTCCTTGGTTTTGTGTCGTGTTGGATATTGAGGAAAAGATCTAAAACAATTCAGTTCTGAACTGGTAGCAGAATCTAGGCTGAGGGTAGATTTCACTCTTAAACCTTCCATTGCAAGAACACATTTGTTTCCAGAATATGTTTTTGAATCACAGATCTTAAATTAAACAAATTGTAATTTTGTGATGTAACATGTGTGAGAATGGTACTCTCATCAAAATAGGCCGCCATATTTACATTAGGAGGTAGTTTGACATGTGATAGAAATGGATCACTGCTATGGCGTCTACTTCTAAACGTTTCTTCGTTGGTAGTACCAATTGATTTATTGGTATATGGTTGCCGGCAAAAAGGACAAGCTTCTCGAAAAATCTGAGGTGGTGATTCATGATGATGATGATGATGATAGTAATGGTAAGTTGTTATCTGAATAAGGTAAAATAAAAATTACAAGATTTTAATCCGACATTGTATTATTCAATGAAAGAGTTTAAGTAAAAATAAATAAATTTAATTAAGGGATAAACTTACAACGTCATTGTGCGATATTGAATTTGAGGTAACATCTGAACTTGTTTGACGATTTCCATATCCCATTGCTTTTTTAATCTGTGACCAAATCCATCCCATCGCCATTTCTCTTCTTATTACAATTAAATTTCAACATATTTCTTTATGCAAAAATTACGCTTGTTTTTTTTTCTCTAAAAATAATATTATTAATAAAATCAAATTTTTAAATTTAATCTTATGCAAATACTTTTAAGAAGAATACGTTTTATTAAAAGAATGGAAAATGGTTAAAGTGATTAACGGACGGAGAAATTCAAACTTATAAAAATCGACTAATGGTCGTTATAAATTAAAATTTCTGTTAAAGCTCATTTCTGCTCATGCGCAGTAAATTATCGAATCAAAGTAAAAACCTATCATTATATAAATTTAATATGTAATTTTCAATTTTGTTTTTATTTTACTTTATTATTGTCTAAACGATCTTTCCCCATCGAAATTATCTTTTGTTAAAAGAATAAATACGAAAAAACATTTAGTTATTTTACAATTTAATATATAAATTTGATTTGCAAATTTTTGACCAGTATTCTACTGTAGTGATGTGTAGTATTCAGTTTAAAATATTAATTAAGAATTGATTTTAGACTAAAAGCTTACCTCGTTAGCGTTTTTGTAAGGCTTTGAATTTGAATTTTCCAAATCATTCTCTTAAAATTAAAAACTAAAAAACTAAAAACCTTCATTTTTATTTGAATCACCGTAAACGACTTTTAAAAAAACGCATAGGAATGGGAGGCAAAAAAAACGTGTCTTTAGAATAAAAAAAACTTTCACGACTTTGTCGTGTACGACTTACATACGTGTTTAAGTTTAATACTAGCCATATAGTTGGATTTACGTCAATGTATTTTCTTAAAACATCATGAAAAAAACCTTTGAAATACCGTTTTTATTTATTTTATTAATTATTGAATTTACTTCGGCTTTATATTTTCACATAGGAGAAACCGAAAGAAAATGTTTTATAGAAGAAATCCCAGATGAAACTGCTGTAATGGGTAATTAAAATAAATTATAATTTAATTCGGCACAATATAAATTCAAACGTTATTAAAAACAATAATCGATAAAACTTATTTATTTTAGTTAATTATAAAGTTGAATTGCTCGATCCACGTAGTGGTGGTATTATGCCTTCAAGTGCTGGTATTGGTATGCATGTTGAAGTAAGAGACCCCGAAGATAAAACATTATTATCTAGAGTATACAGTTCTGAGGGAAGAATTTCATTTACATCTCATTCGCATGGAGAACACGTTTTATGTATGTCTTCAAATAGTACAAAATGGTTTAGTGGAAGTCAATTGGTAAGGGAGTTTTTGTATTTATTAAACAGTATATAAAATATTAATAATAATATTGATAAATAACTCATTTTAGAGAGTACATTTGGATATTCAAGTCGGTGAACATGCTGTCGATTACAATCACATTGCACAAAAGGAAAAATTATCAGAATTACAATTGCGTTTAAGACAATTATTAGATCAAGTTGAACAAATTGCAAAAGAACAGGATTATCAAAGAGTAAGTTAACTTGTTTTTTTTTAATTAATTCAATCACACACAACTTTAACAAATTTAAAATTTTTTATTATAGTATAGAGAAGAACGTTTTAGACAGACGAGCGAAAGCACAAATTCAAGAGTATTATGGTGGTCTCTAACTCAAACATGTATTCTTATTGCAATGGGAGCCTGGCAAATGAAACATTTGAAAAGTTTTTTCGAAGCTAAAAAATTGGTTTAAATATTTATTATTATTATTATTTAATTATTACTGTTAATAAAATCTTTTTACACTCGTAAATTTTGATTCTTACCATATTAATAAATTATGTCAAGTTTTATCGAGTCACATTATAAATTAACACTAAAATCTAATTAATGTTATTATGGAATTTCGAAACTTATCATAAAAAAAAAAAAAAAAAAAAAACAATTTAGATTTTGATTTACTTTATGATATTTCTGATTAATAATATAACTGTACATTAACAACGAAACAATTTACATTTGTGTATATATATATATATATATATAAAATCAGCCGTAGATAAAAACATTATATATATATATATATTTATCTATATTAAATACATAAACACATACACCATCCTATTATTATTATTATTATCATGTCATTTTCTTTTTATAAATCGAATCACTTTTTGTTACCCTCACAAAAAACAAAAGAGTTCAATTTTAATTAATTTATAATAAAACATTATCGAATACTTATTTTGTTTCATATATAGTGCCAGAAAAATTATTATAAAAAATGTGTTAATTAACAGATAATTAATTTTATGTAAATAAGTAGGGTGATTGACTGAAATAAAAACATTTTTTCATTGACTTCTCTAAATAATATATATATAAAACTTTTTGTTTATTCGACAAGAAGAGTAAGAAAGAAGAATTATTAATCTAACTTGTATTTTTTGTACAATAAATCAATAATTTAACTCGCATATATATATATATATATATATATATATATATATATATATAGTTATTTATCAATTTTACATAAAAATTTTTACCCTAATTTATATAATTTATATATATATATATAAAAAAAACTTTTTCCCAAATCTGGCAAAATAGTGCAAGTTAATAATAATAATAATAATAAAAAACTAAAAAAAAAAATACTCTCATTGATTAATTAATAATTGATGATGCTGATGATGATTATTATTACAATTAATATTATTTTGATTTAATACATTTTATTATCAGGCACTAATTTTTTTATCATCATTAATTGCCCAACTCATTTTATATTATACTTTCCACAACGATATTTAAATACTATTACTTTTATTATATATATATATATTATTATTATTATTATTAAATTTTTTTTTTTTTTTTTATACATTTTGTGATGTCGCCCATAATAATTTACAATTCAACTATTTTTTCAACCTACTTTGCACGTTTTTTTTTTTTTTTTTTGCACTAAAAAGGCCTTTTTTTCATTTTACTATTTATTGACTAAATATTATTATAAATTTTTATCATCTATATATATATATATATATATTTATTTTGATTCGACGCAAAATAATAATAATAATAATAACTAAATAATTTCATTTCGATTAATTAATTGAATGAATATATAAAAAAATCATCAGAGTTTAAAACTCTAACGGTTTTTTTTTTTTCTTTCTCTCTACTATCTAGAATAATAGTAATAAAAAGTGAATACTTTACATTTCGTTTCCTTTTCTTTTCTTTCCTTTTTAAAAGACACGACGAGAAAACAAAATTAATTTAATATTTTACACACGTGAAAGAGGGAGAGAGACAGACAGACAGACAGACAAACGATTTACTGAAAACTTAACACAAAATAAATCCACCATTATCATCATACCCGACAAACAAACACACTACGGGAGGGAATTCAAGTTTGACTATCGATCGATTAATCGATTAAATCGATCGCCCGCTCGCGCAACGGATAAAATTGTAAACAAAAAAAAAAAAGGAACGAATTCAAATCCTAATTGTTTTTCTTCTCAGGCTCGATTCTTTCCATTTTTTTTTTTTTTTTTTTACCCCCATCATCCTTCGGAAACGGAAGATAAACTACTCCTCGTCGATCCAACCGGATGTTGATGATGATGATGATGATCTTGTGATAAATCAGAAAGATCCAGAGGGAGAGCCATAACGGGTCCAAACAATTGTTCTTGTTCGTCCAATTGTTGTATAAATTGTTCTTCCAATTTCTGAAAAATAAATCCGATACGGAATTAATAGGGCGAATCCCCCCCCCCAAAAAAAAAAAAAAAAAAAAAAAACCGTAATAAATTTCTCGACGCGAATAAATAAAATATCGAAAAAAATAAAAAAAAGTTTAAAAGAAAAAATATTTATTAATATGAATGAAGCGTTAGAAAAAAAATTTCATACGCACCCTTTTTGATTTATTTAAAAAAATTTTTCCTCAACCATTATTCAAAGGAAAAACTTCAATGGAATCAAAATGGATAATTAGAAAACGTATGTTATAAAAAACCGCCGTCTTTCATGCATTGATGTGAAAAAGGAAGCGAATAATAATGCTATTAGCGTATATGATAAGCAAATGTTATTTTATTTAATTTGATTGTCTCGTCGCCGCCATTTTTCAAGACGTGACGTAATCACATGTGAAATGTTAAAAGCTCATATTTTAATAAATACATAAATATCCACTATTTACATAATTATTATCATCGTCTTAATTAATTAAATTAATACTTAATACCACTCATCATTGCTAGCATACAAAAAAAGTGATTCAAGCGAAAAAAAAAGCCATTGTTAAAAAAAAAAAATACAAGGCACGATAGTTTTAATAGCAAATGAGCAATTTATACTATAATCCTATATATTATATTATATTAAAAAAAAAAAAAAAAGGCAAATTATATAATAAGCGTATGTACAAACGATATGGGGTAAAGCAAATGACTTTATAGGCTTAAATTAAATCAATTTTTTTTTTTTTACTTATTATTATTATTATTATTATTATTATTTTCTTTTTTTTTTTAGTTCCAACAATAACAAACATAAATAAGACTATGCATTACCGAAAATGATGAAATACAACAAAATTAAATATGTGTGCTCCTTCTGCTGTACATACAAATTATAACAACCTCCTTCCTTACTTCCTTCCTTTATATAAAATATAATCACTCAGCCATTTAATTAATTAATTAATTAATTAATTAATTAATTAAAAAGACTTTGTGACATACAAAATTAATAAATAAAAGGGTAAAGCAATTTCGCACCCGCAAATATTTTTTGTTACTATAAATTTGTTTAAAAAACTTTGTGACGAGTATAAGAATTAAGAAAATTAAAGCGACATTCATTATTTATCTTAGAAAAAAGCTAGCTGCAATTCGCGGGGAGAGAGAGAGAGAGAGAGAGAGAGAGAAAAAAAAAACGTTTCCCCCCCCCCCCTCCTCTTTTATTGCCAATGTTGAAGAACCCTATGAGTAACATTCTCGCAACTTTCCAAACTGGAAGACGAATCCCTCTGACTCCCTTTCGACAAAGACACCCGGGGTATTATGATGGGAGAATCGTGGGATGCTGCGGGAGAATCGGATAGGGAAGGTTCCGTGGGATAACTTCTAACGTGAGGATAAGTTCCAAACATTTTCGGTTTTGAATCGGCAACAAATTTCATTCCGGAATATCCTGACAAAGAAACCGAAGTCATCTGATGAGAGTTTCTGTATTTCACCGGTCCGTATGTTGAATCCAATTCTCTGGCCTGAAGCTCGAAGTCAGATTCCAGTTGCTGCATCAGGGGAAACCCCATTTAAACTCTTTTCTTTCATTTTTTTTTTTTGCACATACTTTTTTTTTGATTTTAAAATTAATTTGAATTTAAATTTAAATTTAATTAATCATCATTTTGATTATTTAGTCAATTTAATTTTAGCCGAGTCAGAAGAAAATTAAAAAAAAAAAAAAAAAAAACTAGATAAAAACAAAGCAGAAAATCATCCCTTAGTTCAATTCAAGAATATTTTTATAATAATAATAATAATAGTAATGCGAAAAAAAAATACTTAGCTGTTCTTTTTTTTTTTTTTTTTGGGCGGGGGGGGGGGTGGGGCGATCCGTTAGGTACCAATCATTTACCGTGCCTAATAAATAATGATAATAATAACTTACTTGTTTTCGAGGTTTCAACTGGGATTTCCATTCTTTCAACTCCCTGTTGTATTCTTCTTCCTGTTCTTTTAATTTTGCCGTTTCGTGTTCCATCAACATTTTCCTTTTTTCGTTTTGTAATTGTTCTAATTCTTTTATGGTGGCCTCGGATGTGGCTCTTAATTCTTCCAACTGACGCTGATGTTTAAGTTCAAACCTTTGTTGTTCGGCTCTGTACCTTTTCTTTTCATTCTCTTGAAACTAAAACGAAAAAACAGGAATGTTAATTTTTTTTTTTTTTTTTTTTTTCCAAGTTTTAGTTCAAAATAATTCCTTACACCTTACCTTTTTCAACCTTTCTCTTTCTGCTTCGGGATCGGGCATTGCACTCATACTAATTCTCATCGATTCCCTAAACATCATTTCGCGAGCTTTCATTTCAGACCTAATCCTTTTCGGAAGCTGCCTCTTTTCGACCGCTTGACGTTTTATCAAATCTTCTTCTTTCCGTTGATTCATTCTTTTTATTTGTTCTAATTCTTTCTCGTGTCTAATCAACATTTGATGCCTTTGTAAAAAGAATATATCTTTCAATTGTCGTTTCGCGAGCTGTTGTTTTTCGTGGATTTGACGTTCTTCCAAATCCCAAAGAGCCGATTCTCTGGCTCTTAATAGCCTTTGCTTTTGTTGTAAAAATTGCCTTTCCATAAGAGCAATTTTTTCCCGATGAGTTTCACTTAGTCTCCTGAGGAGGCTTTCGTGATTCTCGTTCAAGTTTTCAGCAAATTGCTTCTCCTTGAATAAAAAATAAAAAAATAATTAATATTGTTTAAACTTAAATTATTTTTCTCTTAGAACATTCGTTTACAAACTTTTTGCTCGTGTTCCGCCGCGAGAGCTTCTTTCCGCGTTTTAAATATATTTTTACGCTTATCTTTGGGCATCAAATCTATTTCTTGCTTTAACAGACGCATTTCTTGTTTTAAACCTTCCCTAAATTGTTTCAATTCTCTTTCTTGTTCGACTCTGATTTTTTTCGAAGCCGCTCGTAAATCCGATTCTTGCTGTTGTTCTGCTTTTTCCACCTGTTGCCTTTGTTGCCTCGCTAGAGTATCCAAATCCGACTCGTACGTTCTCGTAAGTTGCAATCTTTCTTGTTCAAATCTTTTGTCCTGCTGTTCTTTTGCAAACTGAGCCTTATACGACAAGTCTTGATACTGTTTTTGTTCTTGTTTTTGTAACATTTTCAATTCTCTCAATTCCTGCTTTCGAAACAAGTGATCATCGTAGGTCGCATCGTTCTCATCATCCCCGTAAATGACTTTGCTGGTAGTCGTCGTAACGACCACGCCATCTATTTCAAATTTTCTCGTTCTTTTTCTTGTTTTCTTTTTGTACGCCATCATCTGAATATCTTCTTTAGATCTACCCGGTCGATGTTCCTATAAACGAGACGACCGAAAAAATTTAATAAAAAAATTGATATGACAAAAAAAAAAAAAAAAAATTGTAATTGCAATGAGTTGTAAAAAATTACTCTGGTATATTCTGGTTTTCGCCTCAAAACAAGATCCTCATCCGTATCCGCACTAGCTCTCGAATCTCTACCGGGTCTATTTTCTTTATTGCTTTCTCTACTATCCTGACTCGTGGTGGTCGATATACTTTCGGCATCTGAACGATCCAACGTTTTCGAAGACGTGGGAAGCGTTTGTTGACTTTCGCTGCTTCGTCCGGATAATGATCCACTACTGGAAACCGATCTAGAAGCTGATGAACCGTCTGGAGATTGTCTTTTATCTTGCAGAGGAGTGTTCTTTTGATTCGTTTTATTTTTCTTTCCCTTTAATTATTAACAATTAACGAGTTAATCACAATAATAGAGCTGCGTTTACACGAGTTGTAAAAATATTATCGGCGTCCATCTTACATGTGAATTATTATCGTTATTTTTATTAACTACAATTTGCACATTATCAGGTTGATAAAGATCTCCATTTCTTTTATTTAATGGTATTTTATATCTTTCATTATTAACTGACTCAGTTTCTCCTACGGTCGATCCATCTAAAATTATGGACGTGGCTTTGCTACCATCTTGATCTAAAAAAACGTTTCATACAGTACGTTTCAAAATGAAAAAAAAAAAAAAAAAGTATTTTACTTTAAATTAAAATACCTAAAATAAAACTCGAAGGTTTTTTCTCCTCGTTGTGTCGAGAGCATTGAATCGGATGACTGGAATCGTCACCGACTTTAATTACGCTAACATGACTCATATCTTTTACGTTGGGACGATCAACATCATCTTCTTCCTCAAAGGTCATCTCATCTATGGTTTCTTCCAAATAGGAACCTCTTCTATCGTTAAAACCTATAAAAAAGGTGACAAAAATGAATTTGGAATGCAACAAATCATCATTTTTATTTTTTTTTTTTTTAGATTAGAAAAAAATGACCTACCTCTTCTATCTCTGTCATTAATATAATTCGAATTAACTATAAAAACTTCACTTTCATCCAGTTTTTGCCCTCTCGAAAAACTTGAGTCACTCGTATTATTAACTTCCAAAGAATCTAAAAATTCAAAATCTGAAGAGGATTCGTTAATCTGCGTTTTATTCGTTTCGTTGGCAACAATGGTTACTTCGTTTTGACTTGTTGTTTGGACGGGAGGTCGAGAGGGAAAGTCTCTCGGCATGTGTATTACGGGAGGATGAGTGGTTACAACTGTTACTTGAGAGTAACTATTTGATAACAATGAAGACTCTTCGTTTCTTTTGTCAGTGGTTGTTACCGTGACCGTTGACCCGGTGTTCCCTAAAATGATTAACCACCGTGAGGAAAATAGGGAAAAAAAAAATTACTTCATGTTAATATGTCATCCATCGCGTGCACGTACCAGAGCATACAATAATATCTGTAGAACTCTTTGAACGTGTTTCAACATTTGATTCATCCTTGTGTAATCCTCCTTTATCCTCTTGAATTTCATTTTTAATTTTATTTGTGGCACTAATTAGAGGCGAAATTGGTTTTTCGGTACTTTTTAATGCCTCTCGATCGAACAAGGCTTCCGGAGGCGTTTTAGCAAGAATTTTGGTATTATTATTTACATTTTCCAGGGATTTGGATTGATTTAATTTTGGAAGTATAGGTTGAGGTACAGACTTTGATACGAATTCACTAACACTTGCCGAACTTTTTTGCTGTCCATTAACAACATTTACATTTTGTGATTTGGTCACATCAGTCTTACAAGGCACTGAAGGTGATGGCAACGGTGGTGGTGGAGGAGGAGCTTTACCTTTTCCGCGACTTTTTTCAACATTAGGCTCTGGATCTTTTTTGATCTAAAAGATTACAATGGTAAAAGAGTTAAGATAATGATAAAATTCTTCGAGTAACAATAATAATATTAATTTAAAAATATACGAACAATTTTTTTATCCGATTCTTTGGCTTTCTCTTCTTTTTTTAAACGTTTCCTTTCTAAATCTTCTTCTTTGTCAGCTTCCCTCTTTAACCCTTCATCCTTATTTTGATCAACAATTGTATCTTCTTCAGGCACTGAAATAAAACAAAAAAAAATCTCTCTCATATTTTTAAAAATTCTTAGTTCCAATACAATTAATTAGGTAAAATTACAAAATATTTATTTTACTGGAAAAAATTATAATTAAAAACAACCTTTACCTTTGACTTCATTGTCACTTTTAAGAGACACAGCATCATCTCCAGGTTCCAGATCCAACGGAATTTGAGAAGCGCGATGCTCCTAAAAATAAATAAAATATATATATATTTTTAAAAGAAAATCATAATGATATATAAATTTAAAAAATCATGCTAAAAAAAAAAAAAAAAGTTAAAAGGAACATTGGGAAAATAAATAAATTAAACCTGCAGCTAAAAAAAAAATAATAATAATAATTGAAAGATTTTAAAACGACGGTTTCAAACCGTAATATCATTTAACATATGATATTTTTGACATATTTGGTTGTAAAAAAAATAAAATAAAATAACAGTAATGGCAGAGAATAAAATGGATAACATTTATTCACTCACCAACGCGCTGATAAATTTCCCTACGTTTTTTCTGCTTTTTAATAATTACATCCTGATAGCATGAAATATTTACATAGCTTTTATGATGAAGAAATACAGTTATTAGCTACATGCACCATGCTAATGTAACCAACTGTGTTTTTGGCCACCTAAATTTTGCAATTTATTCGAATATTGTCTTATAAAATGACCAAATATACTTACATCCACTTCATCATCGACCACCTCCTCCTCGACAACTTCAGCTTTATATTCTAATAGTAGGTCTCTTACAGGTTTAGAATCAGATACATTGCATATAAAAGGATGCTGAAAAAAGTAGTTTTATTATTTAGCACAATGTTTTTTTTCTCTCTCCATAAAACTTTTTGAAAATGTGAATAAATTAAAAAATAAAAAGTCTCATATTATAATTTATACCTTTAAAAGTTCTTCAGCCGTGGATCTTTGACTAGGATCCTTCACAAGGCACTTTGCTACAAATTCATTAAATTCCTTAGACCACTGAGATGGCTGATCCAGTTTCGGTGGATCAGACTTTTGAATTTTTAATAAAACTCTCATCGGAGACATCTCATGGTTGGGAGGTTCCATTTGAGCAAATTCGATTAATGTGATGCCAAATGACCATATGTCAACCTTTAATGAAATTTTTAAGGAATTTTTAAAATTTGATAAAAAAAACTGTGAATTAAAAAAAAAAAAAAAAAAAAAAGAATGAAAATACATACTTTAAAATCATAAGGGTTATCCCTAAATGTTTCGCATAAAACAACTTCTGGAGCCATCCAATAAGGTGTCCCAATAAAAGTATCATGTTTTTGAAGAGTATATTTATTTTTAGATGAAACTCCAAAATCTGCTATTTTGACACCCCCATCCATTGTTAACAATACATTTCCAGCTTTTAAGTCTCTGTGAATCACTTTATTCTGATGTAAAAAATTTAAACCCTGGCACATTTGTTGCGATATGTAGGCTATTTGAACCTCTGTTAACGGTTTATCTAATTCAACCATTATAGAATCAAGCGCACCTCCATCACAATATTCAATTAGTATCTAAAAAAAATTAAAAAATAATAAATTACTTTGGTTAAAACAAGTTATAAAAGGTTAAATCCCATTCACATTTAATATTATTAATAAAATTCTTTTTCTTACCCATAGCTTTCCATCTATAAAGTATGATTCATGAAGACCTACAACGTTGGGGTGCTTACATTCGGATAATATATCAATTTCAACGATAAAATCAGATAAATCATCTTCTCCTTCTAAGGCACACATTTTTGCAGCAGCAAGCAACCCAGTTGTTTTATTTTGAGCCTGAAAATTAATTTAACAGTAAATAACAAGCAAATTAATAACTGTAACTTTTAATTTTACATCAGTAAGCGAAACAATACTTATGCAGACTTACTTTGTAAACTTTTCCAAAAGCTCCATCTCCTAATTCTCCAATCATATCCCAATGTTCCTTGGGATCACAATCCATTTGAATGTTATTGAAACCTTTTTTCTTTTTAGCATCACTGGCCCCCAAATGGAGGACCTTTTTTAGATTACTCAAGAAAGACATTGTGAATGATAGTTATTTATAAAAAAATCATGTCAACCGAGAATGAGTTAGTGAAATTATCTTAGTAATATTATCATCATCATCACTCTATGAATGATGATACATTGGTTTAATAAAAACCTTAGTTACTCACTACATATTATTTTGAAAATAAAAAAAAAAAAAAAAAATTGTACCTGAAAAACAAATATTAATGAATTAAACTAACAAATTACACCTCATGAACATTATTATTATTACTTACACAAACAATTTACTTTTTAAACGCAAATCAATGAACTTGAAACTGAACAATATATTTCAAAGAATTGATACTAAGCATTTATTTAGATATAAAACGAGTGAAAAAAACAAACTCTTAATAAAAATTATTACACCAATTTATAAAAAAATAGGTTTTCACAGTTCTTACACATTTTTATATACATATATTTAGAAATGATTTTTAATAATGTATTATATTGATCATCTTTAAAATTAATATCTCATTTATAAACTGTGTCAGAAATTTAGTAAATAATTTTTTTTTCATGAGGTAAAAATAAATATACACATATAAAATAAAGAAAAAATTACTTAACAAGCAGTAAAAATCAAGGTCATCTTTTATTTTCAGGACTTTAAGATAATCAATCGACAGAAAAAAATTGAATTTTTTTTAATCCATCAATAAATAATAAAAAAAAAAAAAAAAAAAATCAGTGACCCAAATATAAATGAATATGTATGATATGATCTAAGAATTTACATTTGCTTGGGGGCATATGAATCAAAAATTTATAAATTTTCATAAAAAGTTGTAGTAAATATATTTCTATCCATAAAAAAAATTTTTAAAGTAATTAACGAAATCAATGAGTTTCGATAATAAATCACGTAATTTAACCCAACATTATTTGTATCATTATTAATCAATAGCACCTGTTTGTTACACATCTCGAGTAGGCCTACCTAAAAGAAGACTTACCGAGGCTGTGCATCCTCAATTATCTTGCAGAAAAAAAAAAAAAAAATTTTTTTTCAAGGTCATTTATATTGACATTCTATGTCAGGGGAAAAAACTTTTCAAATTACGTACTCCAAAAAAAAAAAAAAAAATTAAAAACGATTTCAAATACGGTCCCGTAAACATTTTACTAAAAACTTCACGATAATGATAGAAACTAAAGGGGAAAGGCAGTTGATTTACGTTGAAGCAAATAGGCTTACTCAACCAACAACTGTGTACTAATTCTCGTACATTTAAAAAAAAAAAAAAAACTTACCTCGAAAAAATAAAAAACATAAATTTTTTTTCCCTTTTTTTTTTTTTTTTTTTTTGTTCACTACATTTACATTAAAATTAAATCTGATTGAAACTTTTAACTTCACAACTTTCTATATTTCTTTAATATCCCACGATACAAAATATCCATTTGAACACCACGCCTGAACGTGACATCAGCAACAAAACTAGCATTTAGAAGGCGCTGACTTATTACTTTTCTGCTTTCTCGGAAGTAAGTAAGTATTAATAATGAGATAATTTTGCAAATATTTTGATAAAGGCTTGTACAGTTAATGTGTTGTCTCTTAACAAAATATTATTATTAAATTTTTTTTGCTTATTTATTTATTACTCATATTTAAATTTCACGTGGAATCGTAAAATCCATTTAACCAATAATTTCATTCTCATAATTTTAAATAAAATTGAATTTTAGGTACACTTTATTATTATTATTATTATTATTTGAAAACAATTTTTTTGTCAATAAATTTATCAACCTTACCTTTTAGTATTTGGGGTAAACCCCAAATTTATTTAATATTATGTAATTTTATTAATTTGTTTAAAATATATATTTCAATAATTAAATGATACAAAAAAAAATATTGTCAATATAAAATTATTTTTTTATTAATAATATTTAAATAATTTATCGGTTGATTATTAATAATAAAATAAAACTATTAAAATACATCTGAATAATAATTATTATTAAATCTTTTAAATGTATTAATTACTTTCTTTTTTAATTAAAATTTTCATTTTTTAATTTGTCGTTTTATTATTTTTTTTTTTCGCATATGATTACATACAATCTTTACATAAATTATTAATTTCATGCCAATGAAAAAAAAATTTTTTTTTTCTTATTCTTTATTATAATAATTAGAATTTTTGATTAAACTAAAAAAAAAAAAAAAAAAAAAAAATTATTAGCAATGTGTGAAAAAAAAGAAACATGACTTTCACCATTTTTTTTTTTTTTTTTTGTTCATGAATGTTATTATAGATAAAATTTTACTTTTGACCTTTTTTTTCGAATTTAATTTCATCATAATTATTTTAAAATTTAATTTTCTCTTTATACAAAATTAAATTATTATTATTATTATTTTTTAATTTCATTGTTTACAAAATCAAAAAGAGAGAGAGAGAGAAAACTATTTTACATCTCGTAAGATTTTTATGATGATTACAAAACAAATAAATTTAATTAAATAATTATCATTTTTTTTTTATTATAACTTAAAAAAATATATATATATATATAAATAAATAAAAAAAAATAGTAGATTTTTAAATATTTTTCCTGAGGTGAGAGAAAGTTATAAATAATATCAAACTAGTCGATAATACCCTCACCCCATTTTTGTAAATATAATTCTTGTGTGAATTTTTTTTTTTTAAATCGATAAAATTTTATTAATTAAAATAAAATTTTATTAATTATTCATTGAGTTTTTTTATATATCAATTGATATACAAATAATTCAAAAATAAAAACAAAATTTTTCAAAATTTCAATACAAACAAACAAAAAAAAATTTGTAAATATTTTGTTTCGAGATGAAACGTTTAAAAAAAAATATTTACAAATGTCTCTCGATTATCATTAATTATTTTTTCTTTTTTTTTCTTTTTTTTATCAACAATTCTTAATTATAAATTAAATAAAATAAAAAACAACCAAGGCTGATTTATTTTGTGTAGAAAAATTAAAACATTCTGCAAATTATAAAAAAAATTTACTCGATGAATTTTATTTGGCCTTAAGGAATAATTTTTTTTTTTTTTTTTTAATAATATTGACATGAAATTTTAAATTAGTTAAATTTAATACTTGAGGCAATGACCTACAACAAGTTAACAACAAAATCCCGTTAAAATATTTATTTATTTAAAAAAAAAAAAAAATTCATCAATCAATTATTTATCAAAATAATAATAATAATAAAAATATATACAACTTAACAAATTATTTAAATAAAAAATCTTTTTTTTTTTTTTTTATTATTATTATTTTCATTTCATGAAAAATATAATCGATATCCATACAATTTTAAATAAATAATTTATTATTTTATTTAATAAAAAAATAAATTTTAATTTAATTTAATTTAAATTTTTTTGTTTTGTTTTTTTTTTTTTTGTGTCAGATCAAAATGGCGGAACCCGCCAAAAGAAGAATATGGAAAACCATATTTATTTCAATAATGGATTCGTTTAAGTTATTAAAAATCAAACCCAAATTAAAAGGAATCGATTACAATGGTACGAAATATTACGAAAAAGAAATCACTACGTCTGGTACTCTCAGGAAAAATTCCAGGTACTATCAAGTTCCAGACGATGATTTTTTTCAAAAAATACCACCCGAATGGGAATCGTGGTTGAGACACAAACGAAAAAATCCACCCACGAATGAAGAAATCGAAAGAAATTTAGAAAATTTAAAAATGATTAAAATGAAAGCAGAAAAAATCGATAAAAAAATGAATGCCGTAAATAAAAATGAAATTAAATCAATGGAAAAAATTAAATTTCCCAAACACGATGATTACGAATTACAACCTGGTAGTAAATAAATAAATTATAAATTAATAATAATAATAATAATAATAATGATAGTAAAAAACACTATATAAAAAGACAGTCATTTTATTTATTATTATTTACATTTGTTTTCCTTTTTTTCCTTTTTTTGTTATTACATTTTTTATTTAATTAATTAATTAATTAATTAAAAGAAAAAAAAACTAAATTAGACAATGTGTGTGTTATTTATTACATAATTAAGACTAAATCAACCATTTTTTTTTTTTTTTTTTTTTTTTTTCCCCATAAGGAAGAGAACAACAAACGCAATTATTATTATTATTATTATTATTAATTTTTTTTTTTTTTTTAACGGTATCATCACTAAAAAATCAATAAATATTTTTTTTAATATTATTCACTTTTTTTTTTTGTTACCCTGAAAAGTCACTATGATCAAATAAAACTTGGTCGTATAGAGAACATTTAACTAAACGACCACCGAAATATCTTCCGTTTAATGCATCGCGAGCACTTTCAGCCTCTGGAAAAGATAATAGATAAAAAATAATAATGATAATAATAATACTTTCTTTCATTCCCCCCCCTCTCCCTCCCCCTCCGTGGAAATTATTAACCGTTTTTTCTTCCCACCCCCCCCCATTCAAACAATGAAATTTACTGCAAAATTTTTAAAAGCCTTTTTTAAAAAAAGTTACTCAAGTAAAATAATAATAATAATGATAATAATAATAATAATACTCACCGGATGTTCTAGAAAATTCAACAAAAATTTTAACTATAATGTCCGAATCGTCATTGTCCGATTGTTTTTCGTTATAAATAATAACTCTTTCAACGACGCCATATTTACTACACTCATCTTGTATTTCCTCTTGTAAAGTTTCATCAACTTCCTGCGGTTCGACCATGTTTCGTAACATAATCACTTTACTCTCGACTTTTCTCATTAATTTTTGCATAACTAAATGTCTAGCACTTTGTCCCTTAATTGACATGTTTTCCTGTTGCGACAGGGTTTGAGGTTCCGTTTCGTCGAGCAATTTCTTTTGCAACTCCTCCTGTTGCTTTTGCTGAGCTTGCTCGTGAGCCCGACGAAGAGCATCCTGAGGACTACTCACATTATTTACAATGGGCTGACCGACGACGGTTGGAGTCACCACTATGGGGGGCGCTATTTGCGGAGCACCTATTATTCTTTGAGGCACGGCGAGACCCGGGGGAGATATGATCGCTCCCGGTTGGGCAAACGCCGTTTGAGGCATGACCATGGGAGACACGGTTGGCAGACCAGGGATTGTTGCGATACCCGGAACTGGCAGAGTCGGAGGCAAGGTCGGTATATTCGGTATCATGGCACTGACAGGCGTTCCTAGTTTAGCTAATCCTAGAGTTACAGCATTACTTGCGACGGCATCCATGGCTTGAATTTTAGCAGTTGCAGCTGCGGCGGCTACGGCAGCCGCCGTAGGCATGGCACCTGCTCCGGGTGTCGAAGGTCCCTAAATAAACATCAATTTGTCGCGTTAAAATCTCTTCTAACAAAAAAAATGACTTCCATCATATATATATATATATACGTACAGCTAAAGCATTGGGTGGTGTGATTGCTCTGCCGACACGCAGATATTGACCACCTAAATCGAATAAATTCATTGATCCTATCGCTTCGAGTGCAGATTGTAATGTTTCGTATTCGATGAAACCGTATCCTTTGTGTTTGTTGGGAGCATGCCCTTGAGCTAATTTACAATATTTAATAGATCCGAATGCCTCAAACACGCTGTAAAACATTCAATCACCATGTATATATTATTATTATTATTACTATTCTTTACCTTTGAATTATTTACCTTTGTATGTCCTGCTCTGTAAGATCAGAATGTATCGATGCAACATAGATTCTATTGTAATGCTTGGCTTCTTCTGTTATTTCATCTATAACCGCTTGAGCTTGTGGCATGTTGCTGGGTCGTCCCACCTGTTTATAGTCAACAGGACAATTAATTTGTAATTAACAAAGCGTTCACACCCGTCTGTATAACTATACCTGATTATTTTGTAGTAGAATACACAAACAGCGGATTGGAGTGGATGAGGACGTCAGATAGATAGATAGATAGAGGGACACAAATAAGATAGTTAATTTTTTTTGTTTTTTTTTTTTTTTATAAAATTTTTTAGAATTTTTAAATAAAATAATAATGATAATACTTGTGAAGTAGTAGGTTTTTTTGATACTAATAAATCCTAACAGTCTCCAACTTGTCAAAATATAACCTAAGTAATTTTTTTTTTTTTTTAAGAAACTATCGCAACTAAATTTTTTTTTAATTTTTAATATTCTCAAACTTGAAACCAAAACAAAGGTATTTAATATATATATCATTTTCAATTTCTATCTATATTCGGAAATCTTTTTCTTTTAGCGAGTTCAGAGTTCAATACATACCAACATTTTGACGTAACGAACCTTGGTTACCCAAGCACTCGTAGATATTTGGTTGATTTTCGACTCGTGTCGGTCCGGGTGCAAAGTAACGTTGGATTCTGTGTAGTACGAGACTTAACGGGGTAGTCATTTATTTAATTTTGCATTCGAGTTATATGCATATATATATACATATATCTCGATATGCAAAGATAATAATAATAATAACAAAAAAACAATAAAAACGAAGTGAAAGTATAGTGCTGTACAAAAAAAAAAAATCAGCACTTGAAAATCCCAAAAAAATTTAAAAAAAAGGAGGGGAAACCCCTTTTTAATTCCCCCATTAACAAATCATAATAAATAAATAAATAAAAAACATTTTTTTTTTATAAAATGTCATTCACTTCGTTTTTCTTTTTTTTTTTTTTTATTAAATATCATCATTATCATCAATACAAAATAATAAAAATTTTAATACAATAACGTCGACGATTTCCAAAACCCTATTTTACCTTAAGTTATCCAAACTTTGACTGACACCACCATAGTAATTTCGAACAAAAAGCAATCACAATAGAGTGTAATGGCTACCGTTTAGAAAAAAAAAAAAAAACAAAAAAAATTCAACGGTGAATTTTTTTTTAGTAATAATAATAATAATTAACGGTTCCGTTTAAAAAAAAAAAAAAAATTTAAATTTAAATTTAAAAATTAAAAAATAAATAAATAAAAATAATTTAGCTCAAAACACTATTATTATTATTGCTCTCCGTTGAAATTTAAAGAACGTGGAGATAATGACCCTGGAATGACACGAATAAGGAAGAACTTTTATTTAACCAAATTTAACCCTTTAATTTTTCTTTTTTTTTTTTTTTCGTTCTTGTTGCCCGAATACGATTATAAAAAAAAAAAAAAAAAAAAAAAAAAAAAAATTTTTTTTGCCCCCACAATTTTCTCTTTTCTTTCTTTTCCCGTCCCCCTATTTTTTGCTTTCAATAAAAGTAAAGCAAAAATTGTTACGCGGTTTGGCAAAAAATTTTTTTTTTTTTTTTTTTTTTTATACCCCAACCTAAAAAATTATTATTTTTTTTTTTTTTAAA